GTTTAGTTGAGTCTTATTCCAACAATAATGAAAATTTGGATTTTTTGAAGCTCATCGTAATTGACGAGGAGGTAATATATTTACTATGATGACCCTTATAGTTAATATTTCTAAATTCATCTTCCAGATCCAAATACTGACATGGCATAAATATTTCATCTCCTACATATCTTTATTTGTTTCTATAAGTCTTTTGCTTTATCGTTAATACTTTAATTTATCTTATAGGATATTATGTTTTTGACTTTCATATTTTTACAAGTAAAATTGATAGTGAGAATTTGAGATAGTGCGGAGATCAGAGGAAGGAAAAAAGGAAAAAAAACTTTTATCTTACTAATCCGAAGACTTAGTTTCTGGTATATTTAATAATTTTGAATCCATCCTTCAATTAATAGTAATTTATTATAATTTAGTCAACATTAAAGGTGTTGAACTTGCAATATTAATTCTTTTATCAATGTCAAAATGCTTATGTAAAGCAGGTTATTGTGAACAATAGGTTTTACTTAAGTCCGATACCTCTAATCATACAAAAAATATAGTGTACAAAGAGATTCTCATTGAATAAAAAATTCATTTCACATCAACAATTTTTCACAACTATCTCCCAAAATATGGTAACTTCAAATATTATTTTTACGACACTTATAAAGCAATTCAAAACAACGTGCAACGCATGTTTACTTTTGACTAGTATAATCAAAGTTGCTACAAGTACATTGTGGATTATATTATGATACTGGATGACATTAATAATCGTCTATGATGATCAACAAATTGAGGCACTTTATGTCAATACCGAGCTGTTGACCACCATAACCACTCTACGTCAACACTGGACTGTTGACCATCATAAGCACTCTACATCTATGCTGAGCCGTCGACCACCATAAACACTCCACGTCAACGCTAGGCCGTTGACCACTATGAGGCCCTTTACGTCTATGTTGACCCGTTAACCACTACGAGGCTACCTACCACTTCGCGATCGACACAACATTTAGCCATAAAATCATCAATAAGATTGATAGGATCGCTTAACGTTTGTTACTAACACAACCAACTGGTGGATAGTTGGAGGTCTCCCACTCAGAATGTGGGGTAGTGAAAGAGACTAGGTAGGACACATGGCACCATAACCTCCCAACATTTAAATGGCTCCAGTCACCTATAAATACACATAAAGCGAAACAAGCATGTCTCTGGAAATTTTTGGCTATCTGAATACCTATTACATGTTTTCCTCTTAAGTCTATGAACGTGTTTGGTAGATATTTTAATCCAATTAACATCAATTTTTTTACCGTTATTTCACTATTTCGGCTGTCATTTTTGAATTCTTCTCTCACAGATAGGACCCACTTTATCTCTAACAGTCAAAAAATTAATTAACAAAATTCATACCAAACAAGCACTATATCTAGCCCCTGTTTGAGCCTCATTCTTTCAAAAAATAAATTCTTAAACAGTATTTTTTACATCATTTCAACCATATATTCTTTAATAAAATGTTATTACACGCAAATTCAATATTTTCTTATTTTTTAATCACACATGTCCCATCAATATACAATTCAAAAATTCATTCTTATAAAAATAACAGGGCTCAAACAAGGACCTAAAAGATCTCATACTAATTCTTACAACGGAGGCACAACGGGGGAGAAAGCCCCAACCCCATTTTTCAGGTAACATTTGTTCGTCGAAGCAGCCACATAACTATTTTCTATGAGTTTATATTATGAGTTACACTCTTTCATGTAACATGATAAAAGAAAACATTTGATTTTCCCTCCACTTTTCCCAGCAATGCAATGTCATGCCTAGCATTATTCTTATATGATTGAATTGTGTAGACTGTAGATTTTAATTTTGAGAAGAGCATAATAATTGGGTCATGAGCAATCATGTGAAACGAAAAAAAGGAAGAACCTTTAAACAATTTCAAGGGGATATCGGTGTGGTGCTAGTTAAAAATCCTCTGACCGTCAAGTTCAATGATACTTACAGAAAGTATAAGAGAAAGCTAGATGAAACGTAGGCTACATTATTGTAATTAAGTGTACATTGAAATCTATTCGTGGTGATACTTAATATTAGATTGTAACTGTTTTATATGAAAGTTGGAGATTGTTATTTCTTCACATATATTCTATAGAGAGTTATTTAGAGATAATTGTTCATTTAGCTAATCGAGTGATAAGATAAGATTAGATGTACTCCGTTGTTGAGATAATCTGACTTTTCGCATCCGCATAAAGGTATTTTAAACATAGTTAAACATAGTAAGTTGCCATTTGACCATTGATCGTGACGTCGTAACGATTTCAAGGTAACCTATAGGTTTTAGTCTGTGATTCTGGTTCTTTTGATCTTTACAAGCTAGTTCAAAGGTAGCATCTCATTAAGTGGATCTATTTGTCGGCCTCGTTGGGTATCTTGGGCCTTGTTAAGCATAGTGGCAAATTTTTGCCCACCATAGATTGCTAAGCTCCATTCAACCTCAATTGGTAATTAAGTGGGACTGGCTTCACATTCTAGTAGTGCTAGCTGCCCCTTACCTTTTAAATTTTCTACACATATATTATTTCACAACAGCACTAACATATATTATTTCCCAACAGTACTAAGAAGAAGAATTATGAGAATAATAATTACAACAACATTCACACAAACCCCAATCTACAGAAGCGTAGCATAGCTTATAGCTCAAGCCGAGTCGAATTCTGGATAGGGTCTAATAATGACCCGCTCACCTCGAACCTCAGTTAGCTAACCCATTTTATACCTCTATAAACATGAAATTCAACTCACAATCATTTGCACATATAGAAAATAATTAAAACATAGAAGCATGCATTAATCTAGAATTGTACACGGGTCACTCATTTGTTTTGAGTTGGTTAAAGTAATTCAGAAAAGAATATTAGTTTTAATCGATCGACTACTCAACCATTGTCTTACACCTCTAAAAACACCACATTTTCAGCTCATCCTCGTTCATGCATGTATAAAAGGTCCCTCGGGGCACTTCTCTCTCAAAGCTGGCAGATCAGAGGTCGTGGGTTCGATTCTTGGGGCTCTTGGAAGGCAAGACACATACTGGAAGGGAAAATTTATTCTGAAAGGTAGGAGTGTTTTGGAAGGCAAGGCGCAACATAGGTTAACTCACTAGGCACTTTGACAGTCCAATTGGAGAGGTGTTCGGACCCTGGTCAGTTGGAGGCACATCCCGCGGTTTAACTGGTCTGTGTGAAGAGGGGCCGAATCACAGATTCAAGGAATAGTCGTCGAAGGCGGACACCTTGATAAAAAAATAATAATAATATTAGAAAAAATTTGTGACTAAAAAAACTCGGACTTTAAGGATTAATTTGAAATTTCGCATGACGTTCGGTGACCACATGTAATATTGAATATCATTTTTAATACGAAAATTAAGTCGATATCCTTTGTTTAATTTAAAACCCTACAAAGTTGAGTGTTAATATGTGATTAAAATACAAGAACAGTCCTGAGTTTTACTGCCTTTTAACAATTTCGTTACTAATTTTCTGTTAAGTTTTTTTAAATAATGAAGCTCGATTAGGGCTCATTGTTTTTATGTTAATTTAAATATTTAACAATCATTATTTGAAGAGTAATGTTATTTGCGATCATTCACTACCATAGTTACCCTACGTAATATACATGTGGCTATCATTAATTTAATGTATTAATGTGGTAGTTTTTTTATTGTCTTATTCATCAAATTATTAACATTTACATATATGTCATGTAAAACGATTACGATAGTGAGAACTGCAAATAACATTATTTTTATTTGAATATGAATATAACAACCTTTATGCTTAAAATGGAAATTTTAGTTTCGAATCGAAATCGTGCCGGCAAAGAGAAAGCTAAACTTCCCACAAAGGCTTCATATATAGTAGAAGTTACAACAACTCTATCCGTATATACATGTACTTACTAATTTCTTTAGGCATATACTCTTAGATTGTGATCATAGTCATTAGATCTGATTTGAGCATCGATTTGGGCAAGGTATTAAAACTCCGGCTATTGGTTGAATCGATGGATCAACGATAAGAACCATGGGTTATTACTTAAAAGTTATTTTAAAAAAATATATTATAAAACTTTGTGAAAAT